GGCTTAAGTGAGTCTCCTGCCTCCGCCTCCCAAGTAGCTGGGACCACAGGCATCCACCACAACGCCTGGCTATTTTTTTTTTTTTTTTTGGTTGCAGCCATCATTATTGTTTGGTGGGGGTGGGCCCGGGCTGGATTCAAACCTGCCACGTTAGGTGTATGTGGCTGGCAACTGAGCCACTTGAGCCACAGGCACCAAGCCAATATCTTGTTTTTTTAACTTGCATTTACCTAAGAACTAATGATGTTGAACATCTTTTATGTACTTATTTGCCATTCATACGTCTTCTTTTATAAAGTATTTGTTCAAATTTGTTCAAAACTTTTTTTTGGAGACAGAGTCTCACTTTGTCACCCTTGGTTAGAGTGCCATGGCATCATAGCTCACAGCAACCTCAAACTCCTGGGCTCAAGCGATCATCTTGCCTCAGCCTCACAAGTAGCTAGGACTACACACACTCATCACAACAACCAGCTATTTTTTTTTAGAGACAGGGTCTTGCTCTTGCTCAGGCTGGTCTCCAAAAATTTTTATTTTTTTTGAGACAGAGTTTTACTCTGTCACCCTGGGTAGAGTGATATGGCTTCATAGCTCACAGCAACCTCAAACTCTTGGGCTTAAGCAATCCTCTTGCCTCTACCTCCTCAGTAGCAGGGACTACAGGTGCTGGCAACAATGCCTGGCTAGTTTTTCTATTTTAAGTAGAGATAGGGTCTCGCTCTTACTTGGGCTGGTCTTGAACTCCTAAGCTCAAGCAATCTACCGCCTCAGCTTCCTAGATTGCTGAGATTATAGGTATGAGCCACCACATCCGGCCTCTCTTTTTTCTTCTTCTTTTCTTTTTTTTGAGATAGAGTTTCCCTTAGTCACTCTGGGTAGAGTGCCACAGCGTCATAGCTCATACCAACTCTTGGCTCAAACAATTCTCTTGCCTCAGCCTCCTGAGTAGCCAGGATCACAGGCTCTTGCCACAGTGACTGGTTATTTTGGGTTTTTTAAGAGACAGGGTCTCACTCTTGCTCAGGCTGTCTCGAACCGTGAGCTCAGGCAATCCACCTGTCTCAGCCTCCCAGAGTGCTATGATTATAGGTGTGAGCCATTGTGGCTGGCCTTCTTTTTTCCATTTCTTAAATAGGAATTTATTAAAATGAAGTTTTGGAGGTCTTTATGTATTCTGTATATAAGTCCTTTATTAGATATATAATTTACAAATATATTCTGTGCCTTGTTTTTTCATTTTCTTACTAGTACTTTTAAAGGTCAGAAGTTCTTAATTTATCAATTATTTTCTCTTATGGATTGTACTTTTGGTGTCACTTAAGAAAATTTTCCCTAACATGGGGTCATAAAATTTTTCTTTTCTTTTTTTTTTTTTTGCAGTTTTTGGCTGGGGCTGGGTTTGAACCCACCGCCTCCAGTATATGGGGCCAGCACCTTACTCCTTTGAGCCACAGGCACCACCCTGCTTGTTTTTGTTTTTTAAGAAAGAAGCTCACTTTGTCACCCTGGGTAGAGTACAGTGGTATCATCATAGTTTACTGCAACCTCAAACTTCCAGGGTCAAGCTACCTTTTTGCTTCTGGCTCTGAGTAGCTGAGAGGACAGGTGTGTGCCACCACACCCAGTTAATTTTTCTATTTTTAGTAGAGACGGCATTTCACTCTTGCTCAGGCTGGTCTTGAACTCCTGAGCTCAAGCAATCCTGGGCCGGGCCTCCCAGAGCTCTAGGATTACAGGTGTGTACCTAGCCTCTCCCTCATTTTCCATGTTTTCTTCTAGATGTTTTATAATTTTAAGTTTTACATTTAGTTTTGCATTTATATTAGTTTTACATTTAGTTCCATTTTGAATTAATTTTTGTATATGATGTGAAGTATGGATTAAAGTTCATATTTTTGCATATGTCTGTCAGTATTTTTCTCAATTGGTCATTCGTACCTTTGTTTATGGATTCTTTTAATATATTATTCTTAAATCTCCTTTATTGCCTTTAAGAACAGTCTATGTTCACAGCAAAATGGAGCATAAACTACAGAGAACTCACATATATCCCCTGCACACACACACACACACACACACACACACACAGAGTCTCTCCCCCTATCAGCATCACATACCAATCATGCATTTGTTACAATCAATGAATCTAACCTAAATTGACACATCATTATCACCCAAAGCCCCATAGTTTACATTAGGGTTCACTCTCAGTGTTACACATTCCGGGGGTTTTGACAAATGGACAGTGACATGTATTCACCATTAAAGCATCATACAGAGCAGTTTCACCGCCATAAAAATCCTCTATTCTGGCTTGGCGCCTGTGGCTCAAGTGGCTAAGGCGCCAGCCACATACACCTAAGGTGGCAGGTTCGAATCCCCAACCCGGGCCCACCAAACAACAATGATGGCTACAACCAAAAAATGGCCAGGCGTTGTGGTGGGTGCCTGTAGTCCCAGCTACTTGGGAGGCTGAGGCAGGAGACTCACTTGAGCCCAGGAGTTGGAGGTTGCTGTGAGCTGTGATGCCATGGCACTCTACCCAGGGGGATAGCTTGAGGCTCCGTCTTAAAAAAAAAAAATCCTCTATTCCCCATCCATTCATCCCTTCCTCCTCTCTAACTCTTAGCAACTACTGATCTTTTTACTGCCCTCATAATTTTGCCTCTTCCAGAATGTCATATACTTGGAATGTTACAGTATGTTGCCTTTTCTTTCACTTAGAAATAGGCATTTGTTTCCTTTGTGTCTTTTCATGACTTGAGAGTTCATTTCTTTTCACTGCTAAGTAATACTTCATTGTCTAGATATACCACAGTTTATTTAACCATTCAAACAACCGAGGGTCATCTTGGTTGCTTCCAGTTTTACAAATTATGAATAAAGCTTCTATAAACAATCATGTGCAGTTTTTGTGAGGACAAGTTTTAAATTCATTTGGGTAAATACTAAGAAGCTGATTTCTAGATCATATAGTAAGCATGTATGTTTGGTTTTATGTATTTAATAAAAACATATTGAAGCTTTTACTTTTGTCATCAAACCTATCAAACTTTTCTTTCATAATGTCTGTCTTTAGTGTTGATTAGAAAGGCCTTTCCCCCTCAAAATTGTTTAAATATTCACATGTGGATACTTACGAGTATCTTCCTCTTCAGAAGTTCTCAACCTGTGGGTCACGAACTACCCTTTCACAGGGGTTGCCTAAATACATTTTGCATATCAGGTATTTATATTACAATTCATAACAGAGGCAAAATTACAGTTATGAAATAGCAACGAAAATAATGTTATGATTGGCAGGCACCACAACCTGAGGAACTGTATTAAAGGGCTGTGGCATTAGGAAGGTTGAGAACTGCTGCTCTAGTAGTTTACTGGTTTCATTTATTTTTACATTTCAATTTTTGTTTTATTTAGACACAAGGCAGATGTCTAATTTCATTTTCCCTTGGCTTTCTTTTCATTTCTGCAGTGGCTACATATAGCTCCCTCTAAATACATAATCTACACAACCCCAAAGGAAGCCCCATTTAATGAATAAGGAAGCTAAGGCAGAAAGCTATTTCATTACATTTAAAGTCACACAGCCATTAATTTACATAGTCAGGATTCAAATCCAGAACTTTAGATGCCATTCTGTTTGTTCTTTTTCCATGGCAGACTTGTATGGTCCTCAAAGTATGACTCACAAACATATAGCACTGGCAATACTAGAGCTTGGTGGACATGCAGAGTCCCAAAATTTATGGTATATCATACTCACCTAGGGCACCTGTTAAGCTCCATCACTCCTCAATGTTTTAACTCAGTAGGTCTGGACTGAAGAGGAAGAATCTGTATTTTAACAAACATCCCAGGTTGTTCTTATGCAGGTGGCTCCATGGATCACACTAAAACAAGTGAGAAATATTGGGGTTTTTTTTTTTTTTTTTTTTTTTGAGACAGGAGCCTCAAGCTGTCCCCCTGGGTAGAGTGCCATGGCATCTCAGCTCACAGCAATTCTCCCACTCCTGGGCTCAAGCGAGTCTCCTGCCTCTGCCTCCCAAGTAGCTGGGACCACAGGCGCCCGCCACAACATCTGGCTATTTTTTGGTTGCAGCCGTCATTGTTGTTTGGTGGGCCGGGGCCAGATTCGAACCCGCCACCTTAGGTGTACGTGGCTGGCGCCTTAGCCACTTGAGCCACAGGCGCCGAGCCGAGAAATATTGTTAAACTATAATCTAGGACACCAAAGGTGATGACTGATAATTTCTCCCAATCTCAATTTTGACAAGCGTCCTTTAAACCTGGAAAAGAGACAGCTAGGAGATGACAATTATTCTTACATGACAATATGTGGAAATTAGGTTGTAATGATGAGAATAATGTAATAATAAAGGTGATGACTAAATCTTCAGTTTTACAGAAAATCGAAGAAAACTAAGGGGAAAATCTTTAATTGAGCCAGAATTTAGTGGAAGCAATGTGGAAAAGGAGAAAATATCTACCCAAATAGATTCCAGTCCACTTCCCCACCTTCAGATTTTATCAATTATGTCCATGAGCCTAGGTCTCTTCGCTGGTAAATTGGGGATAATGATATCCTGCCAGCAGGAAGAACCTGCCTGTCAACTTACTGAACTTTTCCTCCTCGGTATCGGATCTATAGGCCAAGATCAGTAACCGTTCCTGGAGACTGAGCTGCCTCTGGAAGCTTCTTTCTGCCAGCTCAGATTTGCCCGAAAGCCAATGCCACCTGGCCAGAGGTGGGACTCGGGTCACCAGAAGGGGGCCACCCGCCGGACGAGTCCGCGCCACCGGGTGGGGGCAGACTCCCTCTCCCAGACGGGTCCTCTAGCCTGACTTTGTCATCAATAATTCATTAAGAACCTCCTCTTCATTGGCTAACGCCTTCAGCCTCTCTGGCAGAGGTCCAATGAGGAAGGACCTGAGAGAGCCTGTCTGAGCGCCCGTGACGTATCGTCCAGAGATTGGCTGTGGCGACGCGAGGCGGGGCCAGGCTCGGGCTGGGGCGAGCGCGGCTGGGACCGCTCAGTACTAGCCCCGGAGTGTGGAACCCAGAGCTGGGTGCCGGCGCCGAGCGTGAAGGGCGGCAGGATGTTCAGCTGGTTGGGGCGGCAGGCGGGCGGGCGCGAGCGCGCGGGCGGCGCGGACGCGGTGCAGACGGTGACGGGCGGCCTGCGCTCGCTCTACCTGCGCAAGGTGCTGCCGCTGGAGGAGGCGTACCGCTTCCACGAGTTCCACTCTCCAGCTCTGGAGGACGCCGACTTCGAGAACAAGCCCATGATCCTGTTGGTGGGTCAGTACAGCACCGGCAAGACCACCTTCATCAGGTAACCCGCCTCGCGGTCTCCGCTCCCCTGCCGGGGCCCTGGCCTCTGACCATGTGGGCGGGTCGTCCCCACGTGTGTACGTGGCTTGCTGTCACCAGCCTCCGGCTGCTCTCGGGCAACCTGTGGCTCTTTCCTCCTCTTCACGGAACTCCCTCGCCTCAGCTTCCTCCTTTAGTGTCCAGGTGACCTCAGGGAGCCCCTCGGAGCGCGGCGCCTGGGTGCCCTCAGCCCCGCCCCCGGGCGCGGCCGCCGGAATTCAGGCTGGTTCTCCCCATTCGGGCCAGAGGGTCCCCGGAACCGCCCTCTGTGTACTCAGAGCCCTCCTTGCTGTCCGGAAGGCATTCCTCTGGATGGCTTCATCCTGTCACCCTGGCCTGGGGGCCCAGGGAAGGGACGGGGAGCGAGGCTATAATAAGCGTCTTCCTGATGAGGGAGTGATGCCTAGGGCTGAAATAGGGGCACAGGTGTGGGGTATTCAGAACGGGCAATGGGGGCCGGCCAGCCCAGTGGCTAATGAGGATCGCTTGTCCTTAGGAGTCTGAGACCAGCCTAAGCAAGAGTGATACCCCGACTCCAAAAATAAGAAAGAAAAGTCACAGAATGGGCTATGGAGTCATAGTTGGAGGGCCCCTAGCACCGTGCCCAGCAGCAGTAAAGGGTGTTGCCAATGTCCCCTTTCCTTGAGATCTTGTTACCCACCAACCACCACCGGCCACAGTGCTCAAGGGAAGGGATAAAGAGGCCATCTCCATTCAACTCTTGCACAGTCCAGTCTTTACTGACCATAGGAAGTGAGAGCTGTGTGTAGCAGCAGCGTGGAACTGAGGAGGAGTGTCAAATTACTATTTGTTAGTTTCCACTTCTTAGGTGGGTCACACCCTCCTCCCTCACCCTTGACAACTGAAAATATTTGTCATACTTACTGTGTCTCGGACAGCACACAATTACTGTACATGCTCTGTGGTTGAAATCATATAGCTTCCTCTGAAGTGACTTTTGATGGGAAATAATTACATTGGAACAGATTGCTTTTTTAATCAGCTTTTTTATTTCTGAAGGCGCCAGCATATTAAAGCTTACCTTCTTTGGTAAGGAGACTTGTTTTTCTGGTTTAACCCCTTTGTCCCTGGAAACAAAGTGGCTGATCATTTAATGTTTTGGTCTCCAGTTTGGGAAATTTTAAAAATCACTTCTTCATTTGATGTTCAACAGGTGCTTAGGAAACTGCATCTATATTTGGACACATGCCGTTTCTGTTAAGTAGCAACCTCTTTTTCTCCACTCCAGTGACCTGAATAGTTCCTACAAAATAGAGCAGTTGTCACTACAGGAAATACTAAATCCAGATATACTGTGAATGAATTCACCAAAGCAAATACACTATGTACTGAAATGTAATTCTAGAGAATAAATTAATTGAATATGAAGGAAGATTGAAAAAAAAAAACTTTAAATTGTTCTATTTGGTGCTTATTAATAAGCTGAAAATAGTATTAAACATGTTATCCCAGGCACTCAAATTGAACCAACGTGCCATATAGTAACTGGCACCTTGAAAGACATCAAACAGATGGTACATTTAAGGTGTCAGTAACACTGACCAGTTTTTTAGCTACTCACAATAATAAAGTGTTTTGCCCAAGTGGTATAAGAGTGGGAGGTGGACTTTTGGAAACATACAAGGAATAAGAATATAACATTGCTATAATTTAATGATGGCATGTTCACAGCACCATGGGCATTTCTTCCTGTTTCTTTTTGCCATGAAGTCCTTATTGTGCCCACGGGTAATCAGGGAGCCCTGCTTGATGTTGTACCAACTTGGAGATTATGTGGCCTTCTCAATGCCCCTTAGCCTGGAAAATAAGCAGTCCTGAGGTAGGAGAATACAACTCACAGGACCATGAAATAATTCTTTTTTTTTTCTTTCCGTATTTCTATTTTATTATATTCTCACTCTTATCTCTGTTTTATCATTTGGGAGAAGCTTTGTGGGATAGCTGAGCATAGTTTAATGAAGGCTTCTGAGATTTGAGTCCTATGACTACATCCAAATTGGCCATTGCTCAGTAGGTACAGGAGCCATGTGCAGTCTTAGGGTGAGGGAGGAATCAGCATATTAGGAAGCCACTTGTTCTTGAGACCTTCCCTGGGCTCCGTGGAGTTGTGAGGTTAGAAGAAAATCAGTGTGGACAGGAAGCTTGGTGAGGCTACAGGAGACCTGAATTTGGTTTTCAGATTGGAGCTGGAAGGAAGTGGTTTAGTGCCTGGGAGGAAAGCTCCAGACAGAAGGGCCACCACCCTGGAGACTCATGCATTTGGAATGGTGAGCAGAAGGGTTGGCCAGAGTGCTGACTATGCTAGATCCTACCTTAGTTAGAGCCTGGTTAATGGCCTGAGTTGTTTGCGTCTAGTGATTGAGCACTAGAAGCTCAACCTCAGCTCTGGGGTGCATCTATATACACAGTCATAGATTCTTACCCACCTGGCTTTCTATACATTCTGTGAGATCACTGATAACACAGAGCCTCTGCTGGCATGGAGGGAAACATCTCTCCTTGGGGCCACTCGGCAAAGTCTTTGCTGTGAATTCCACATCTTTGATGAAAGTTTTACTCTTCTTCCTCTAATAACATGGCTGAAAGGAAGTAGGAACCCCTCTAATACATGATAGGTGAGCTTTCATGAGGAGTGAGGATGTATGCTTTGTTCTAGTGAAAAAGTCTCCAAAGTGGGGTGGATGAAGAGCCTAGTTGTCAAGAAAATATGCCCATTCCTGCCACTACGAGAGGAAGGAAGAGAACTTACTGTGGCTCAGTGAGTAGGGCACCAGCCCCATATACTGAGGGTGGCGGGTTCAAACCCGGCCCTAGCCAAACTGCAACAAAAAAACAGCCAGGTATTCTGGTGAGCGCCTGTAGTCCCAGTTACTCAGGAAGCTGAGGCAAGAGAATTGCCTAAACCCAAGAGCTGGAGTTGCTGTGAATTGTGACACTACAGCACTCTACCGAGGATGACAAAGTGAGATTCCATCTCTTCAAAAAAAAAAGGAAGAGAATAAATAGAAAGCAAGTCTTGGTGGACTCTCTTGCAGATCAGAACACTGGCCCAGAAGGAGACTTCAGATGTTATGGAGATAATTTATCAGTCTCTTTGTGGTAAAGGCAGAGCCCCAATAAACCTATCATCTGGCTGACAGTTTTCTTTCTCAGAAGACAGGATACAATGGAAGGAGGAAATATTGCCTGTTCTACTGCTGACTGGCAAGGAAGAATTGGCCAGAGAGGAAGAAATGGGCACTGAGGAAAGTGACCATATAGTCTTAGACTATGTAACAGCCAAGGAGGGATGGATGTTGAGCTCAGCGATGCTTGTGTCTAAAACATGAGGAAAACAGATTCAGAGATGCCTCCAGAAAATCCCTGGGCTCAGGTGCTGTGAAGAAAGGCATTTCTACTGAGAGGGCGTGAAACCCACCTGAAAACAATTCAAACTACAAGTTGCAACTTCTGGTTTTTAAGAGCTACATTTTCGCCCTTCCTCCTATACTCTGTCTCTTCAGAAAACTTATTCTAATGAGGAAAAAAGAGACATTCTTAATGAGTCACTTAAGTAACTATATAGGCTTTAAAAGGGCAAAGACAAGTGTAGTTAGGCAAGAACAGAAATAAAAGGCATCCAGATTAGAGAGAAGTAAAACCATTTTCAGATGACGTGATCTTATACATAGAAGGTCTTAAGGAATCCACTAAAAATCTATTAGAACAAATAAACAAGCATGGCAAGGTTGTAGGATAGAAGGTCAATATACAAAAATCAGTTTGTATTTCTATACTCAAGCAGTGAACATTCCCTAAGTGAAATTAAGAAAACAATTCTATTTACAGTAGCATCCAAATGAAAAAAAAAGATATCTAGGAATAAACTTAAGGAAAGGGGTATAAGGCTTCAACACTGCAAACTATAAAACAGTATTGAAAGACCTAGATAAATGGGAAAACACCCTGTATGTACAGATTCAAAGACATTGCCAAGATGTCAATACTTCTCAAATTAATTTATAGGTTGAATATAATCCTCATCAAAATTCTAGCTCACCTTTTTTGCAGAACTGACAGGCTAATCCTGTAATTCATATGGAAATTCAAAGAACCCAGAATAGCCAAAATAGTTTTGAAAAAGAAGAACAAAGTTCAGAAGACTCACACTTCCTGATTCAAAACTTTTTTTTTTTT